AAGTATTAAATCCAGAGAGCAAGGCAATCGGTGGCTACCCCCAACTTTTCCTTGGTACAGAAGTGCCTAAAGCAGACCCGGAGTGCAGGGAGTTAAAGGGGCTCTTGCCATAGTGTGGAAGTATGCACAGCACATTTTGAAAGATTTACCTTCTACCTCTAATTTTCCTCCTCCAGTGCTGATGGATCTACTACCTTTTGGTCATTGGAAGGTAGACATGTGCGATTCGTTTCGTTACGAATCGAAATTCGTACGAATTATCCTGAAAGGAAGGCCATCGATTTTATATAATTCTTGCACATGAGTTAAATTATTTCAGCTACTAGCTCCATTGTATGCATTTCGAGATACCAAGAATAGACTGAGAGAGCATACTGCACTGTGCATGCGCAGTACACAATTTAACATGGTTAAGCACAAAAGGGTGAAGAGTTTGCAGAAGGTGGGAGAAGTGAACAATCAAGGACAACATAGCTAAACTGGAAAGTGAGCTGAATTGGATAATTTTTCCAAATCTGCTATTTTGTCCTAGATTGTTCACTTCTCCTGCCTTCTCCTAACTCTTCACCCTTTTGTGAATAACCCTGTAAGTGTCCAAGTTCATACCAAACTCTACCTCCTAACAATTGTTTTTGTTTTTTTAGCCTTTAGTTCTGTTTTAAGTGTGCTTTTTATCAGGGTAACTGTAGTGTTTTTGAGGATAACATAGTTAAGTATTTGACAGCTGTATTTATTCTTTTTGATGTGAGTATAATTAAAAATAAAAAAGTATGTGACAACTCTGTATATCAGTTCCTAGTAAGTTAATTTCCTGCATGGAAACGTGATCATGGTGGGTGTAGAGTCAATTTACATGGATCTTCTCGGTGCCGAAGAATTTGTAGGTGAAAATATTTCTACGGACAGTGCTCTTCTTTTTCCTTTATTATGAGAAGCGCACCATTAATAGAAAATAGTGTGTGTGACAGAACTGGCTTCTCAGGGAAGAGTTGCTTGCATATTACTCACTTCCTCATAACATTATCAGTGCCATCCCAGCCACATACCTGAAGTTCTGTCAAGAAAAACATTTTAAATGTTACGGATTGCATTGACCCAAGACTGTTTATTCATTTTCTACACATTACTGCAGTGGGCTTCTGGCACTTTGAAGTTAATAAAAGTATAATCTGTTTTTAAGTGGAGCGGTCATGCAACAGAAATACTGCCTTTAAACCTTCCCACCCCCCAAATAGGTGTTAAAATGAAATGCTATGTATGGTCTTATTTTTTTTGAATTCATGGTCACAGATTGAGAACTTCTTAGAGTTTATGGTCACACCTTCCCCATGTCAAATACCATTGGCACATGAATGTGCTTTTGCTGTAGGGAAAGTCCTGTTTGTACTCATGACGTGCTCATTCAGGTCTCCAGGTGCTTAAAATGTTTCTTAGGAGCATATGTAACCTTCCTCTCCAAGTAATCACAGTGATATGGGGGTCTTTGGGCATATGCCTATACTTCAGGTAGTCCAGAGGGGATATCTCCCAAATATAGGTACAGACCCTAACTTAGGCTGAGTTCACACCATAAACCGTGCATTCCAGAGCGGTCCTGTGTTAAGGGTCAGGGCGGGGCTTGGTGGTGCATTGCCCCGCGTGCATTATGCCCCGCGTGCATTATGAAGCACGCCACCACTGTTGTGAACTGGCCCCTAAAGCAGAACCCCGGCAGAATTTTTATTAAACTTTTCAGTGGGGCTACCTCTGCACTGGAAGGGTTAAAGGGTTTCTAAACCCTCATGTATTTTTGCATAGTGTATGTGTGTGTGTGTGTGTATATGTATGTATGTATGTGTGTATGTATTGGGACACCCCTCCCAAAGCATCCAAGTCCTTTAATCACCAAGTGCAATGCAAAGCGTCGGATGCAGTGGTGTAAAGCACGCCACCACTGGACTCTAGAGAAGTGTAGACGTTCTCTGGAATGACATCACACTTCTCTGTTTGGCAATCCGATGGGCGTGTCTGGGTTTGGCGGTTGCCAGGAGGACGGTACTTGCCGGACTGCATTGTGCCAAATGTAAAGTTTGGTGGAGGGGGAATGATGGTGTGGGGTTGTTTTTCAGGGGTTAGGCTTGGCCCTTTAGTTCCAGTGAAGGGAACTCTTGAGGCATCAGCATACCAAGAAATTTTAGACAATTTTATGCTCCCAACTTTGTGGGAACAGTTTGGGGATGGTCCCTTCCTGTTCCAACATGACTGCGCACCAATGCACAAAGCAAGGTCCATAAAGACATGGATGAGAGAGTTTGGGGTAGAGGAACTTGACTGGCCTGCACAGAGTCCTGACCTCAGCCCGATGGAACACCTTTGGGATGAATTAGAGTGGACACTGCAAGCCAGGCCTTCTCGGCCATCATCAGTACCTGACCTCACAAATGCGCTTCTGGAAGAATGTTCAAACATTCCCATAGACGCACTCCTAAACCTTGTGGACAGCCTTCCCAAAAGAGTTGAAGATGTTACGGCGGCAAAGGGCGGGCCAACTCAATATTGAACCCTACGGACTAAGACTGGGATGCCACTAGAGTTCATGTGCGTGTAAAGGCAGGCGTCCCAATACTTTATATACACACACACTGAGTGGCCAGTTTATTATGACCACCTGATGTTTGTAGGCAAATTGGCTATAATTAGCTATAATTCCGTGCTGAAGTTGCTAGAGGGCCAGACCATTATAAATAGGGAAGCAGGTTGTTTACCACGTTTTGTAGAACTGATTTTTTCTGAAGATATGGGTAAACAATGCGATTTAACAGCCTTTGAACGTGGGATGATTGTTGGCGCGAGTAATGGAGCAAGTATCATCAAAACAGCAGAATTCGTTAAATGTTCAAGAGGGGCTCATTGTTAAAGTGTTTAAAGACTGGACTGTCAGCTGAAAATTTGGGAGAGAGAATATTATGTGTGTGTGTGTGTGCAATACATTAGCACCTAGACGCATGTAAGAAAAACGCTTAACCCTTGCAATATATCTTTTTAAATGCAAGCAGATTTAGCAGGGCTGCGATGTAAGAAAAGAAGCTGCACAAGGAGGCAGTCAGTGCTGGTAAAGAAGAATGCTGATAGGAAGGGAAAGTTTTTATAGCTCTGCTGCGTCTCCTTTTACAGCCCTTTCACAGGCTAAGAGTGGGTCCAGGATGGCCTGGGTTCAGAAAATTTGTCAGACTCAAGACATCTGCTGGCAGACAAAAAGAACTGCAGGGATATCTCTGGATTGAAGGTGAATATTGCAGCTAAAGTTGTTGTTGTTTTTTTAATAGGATATTGATTTTTAACTTCTTGTTGACTTGAGTTTTGTTTTAAAAGTACATCACTGGCAAAACCATTTTGTGCTGCTTTGCTGGGTATCCCTCTTTCTCATTGGAGAATGGTTAAAGTTATGTATTTACTTTTTTTTTTCCACACAATCTCTGACAATTCTTCTTTTCCATGTAAGAATTGTGTTTTATTCAGTAACCTGGGAAAATCCCAGAAATGTAAATACAAAAGCAAATCTGTACAAATTCTTATGTGTACTTAGTGTGCTTAGGGAAGCCTTGTACTTTCATATCAGAGTTGAAGTGACCCTAGGCATACATGCATAATATGTATTATCTTTCCAGCCAGTGCGGCAGTTTTTCCAACCCAGATTAATGTTCTGACTACTGTTATTCTTAAACCTACGGGCACCTGACCCATGGCTTTGTTTGCTGATTGACTGATGCTGCTGGCTCTCAAAAAATGCCCTCATGTCTTTGAAGCTTAAACCACTCACTCCTGTCATGCAGTCATTTTTGTTTTGCTCATGGCGTGAAAATCCCAAAATTGTTTTCATATAAATCTCCATTGTTAATGTATTCTGGCGTAGGCTATGTTCTGCTAGCAGTTTTTTCTTCCATTATTGATGCAAATTGGCAGCGTTTTCTGCACAGAGAAATATTTTGTTTGGTGTCAGCAAAAAAACCCAGAGGTTAAACTGGCAGTAGTTTAAAAATAGCAAACTTGGAAGCTGGCTGAAACCCACAATCTATATCATGAAAAAAAGACCGTAAATGAAGCTGTTTGGCATGGATGCTTAGGATTTAACACAATGAAAAGGAGAATAAATGTATATTGGTATATAATCTAGAGCCTTGGTTTTAAACCTGTGGTGCTTACTCGGGCTAGGGAAAAACATTTTCTTAGACTGGGTTCTAGTAATCAAATTGCTTAGTTTATTTTTTTCACACGGTCATTTGTTCTGAGCTGTCCATCTGTCCTGTTTTTAGTGTTGTGTTTTTTTTGCTTTTTTTTTGCTTTTGATCTTTTAAAATGGACCATGCTGAGATAAATACCAATTCACAAGAAGTTTGTTCCCATGATCCATATTAAAATATGGATTATGTATTTTTTGTGTGTAATATGTGAATTAAGCAATATTATTATTTTTTTATCATTGTACATATTCAGACAACCTAACAATTTTTTTCTGTATGTAAAAGGTAAAATTTGCATTCAATGATACTTAGTGACCCTAAACTCAGTAGTTAAATGCTTAAAATGTATTCAAGTAGCTTTTAACTATTAACAAAAATGGAGGGTGTCTACTTTTGTTCACTACAGGAACATATTTTTTATTAATCGTTAATGTACTTTAATGCTTTTTAAGATTTAACTGCTGAGTTTAGTGTCACTGTAACTTGTCTTAGGACTGTATAGCAGACACCTTCAGAGGGCTCAGGAAGCTCTTAAACCTGAGGCACTCTAGTACACAAATATCAACTGGAGCTTGACTGATTGCAATCTGCCACACCCTCATTTTTCCTCTTGGCCAGTTAATCCACATTTCACATTTAGTTGCCAAAGTAGAATCAAGGGGGGACAAGAAGGAGCTTGCTAGAGTCGCAATATCCAAGCCCTTGTGTAAGACGCATCAGTAATTTTGGAATCAGTAATAGTTTTTTTTATAATAAACCCTTAGCAGCAGCACAGGAGACATGGACTGAAAATGACCTAGGGGTTATAAAATATCCCCATGACTGCTACTCGCTGCTTTCTTTATCTGCATTTCTGACATTTACCGTATAATTAAAGTCTCTTGGTTTTTTTTTTTCATAGATCTACTGCTAGCAAGCAGTAGATCTATGCAAAAACATAAAACAAAAAAAAAAGTTACTAAAAAGGTAATTACATACCTGTATCTCTGCTGCTTTCTCCCGTCTGAAGAGCTGAAGATTCTCGAGCTGCCGCGAAGGATCTTGGGGCAGGCACATGCACAGTAGAACTCTTCGGCTGGGAGAAGAGGAGAGACACAGTGTAAGTCAATGCATGCAGCCCGGCAGCGTGCATGGGACACAGAAGATACAGCAGTCAGCACTGGATGGACTTCTGAAAATTAGGGATGCACCTATACCGAGTATTTGGTCGAGTACTCTGATGCCTAGCCCGATACCTGAGCTTCCGGTATCGGGAAGCCGGGCACTGAGTCATTACACACTGCCAGGAAGCCGACTCCATGCTCCCTCGTCACTTATTCACTCACCACCTAGCTTCCTGATTGGTCGGGAAGCTGGTCAATCAGGAAGCCGGATGGCAAGTCATTACCCACTCCCCAGCTTTCTGATCGGCCAGAAAGCCGGGCGAGTCATTACACGCGCCTGGTTTCTTTAATGGGACTTCCGTTATCGGTATTCGGTATCGGTGAAAACCGGAAAAAAATATCAGTACTCGTACGTGACACCGAAAAAACGGTATTGGTGCATCCCTACTGAAAACTACTGGAAAGAAGAAGATCATGGGATCAAGAGGCATCATTTAAGCCAAATGCTTAAAGCGGCGTGGGGGGATGTGACTTTTTAATGTCACTAAGTCTTCTGTCCCATAACTTGTAAGTACCAGGGTCATTTTACGTTCACTATTGTATTTTCTATGTTCCTTTTTGCTCAAATTGAGTGAAGCTGTAATTGTTTGCAGTGAAGATTCACACTTGGCATGATTTGTGTTGACAAAGAAAGCACCTTCCCTGTTAATTACAAACAACAGATGGACCACTAAGCTAAATCTGCTTTATATTCTACTTGTTAGTTTACCATGTGGTGAGGACAGTATCCATTTCTCTTTTGATCTGTTCGTATCACACCAAGAAAATGGTTTTAAGCTACTCACAGACATTAGAGCACAATCAGTCAGATGTGCAGGCATGATTCGATCACCCCAAGGCTTCAGATCATTAAAAGCTCTGGCTCTCTATGAACTCATAGGGTCATCTCTGCTGACCTGGGAAGTTTAAGTCGATGGATGGCAGAGCAGGTATGCAGTGCAGGCATCTGGCGGTGCTGGGTATCTCTAGAGAACAATATTGATCAGGACAGGTTTTCCAAACTACCTGATCAATGTTCCTCCCTGGAGTTCCTGGGTGCTCTTATGGCTCCCGCTTAAAGGGAATGCACAGTGTTTTCGAGCAGTAAAACAATTTTCAAAAATATTTCTATAGTTTTGTGTAAAAGAAGCACCGGAAAGCCAATTTAGCTATAAAAGTTTGTTTCTGAAAAGCTTGCCTAAATCTGGCATCAATATGCCGTGACTGGTTATCCCTTATGGAGAGGGCAATTGTCTGTTGAAAGGTCTCACAATACTTTGGGAAAAAACCTGAGAGAAAAACACTTTTGCGCCTTATGTGTGAAAAAGTTTGATTTCTGGATTCGGACACAAGCCTCAGTTCTTTGGCAAAGAGAGATTTAAATGTATGGTAAGCTTTGGGCAGGTCAGGAATTCGAACTGAACAGTAGGAGATCAACTTGAATGTGTGCGTGCACACACCTGTATGAGTACGGAATGAGACGACACAACCCCCTCTCCCAAAAGATAAGGACCTGTTGGAGATCACCAAAAAGTGAGCAGGCAGTGCTAGGATTTATTAGGAAGCCCTGTATGCGGTTCTAACTAAATGTCATGATATCACCCTGTATTTAAATATTCACTTTACGATTTTATTAAAAACAAAGATCAGTTTGCAAGCAATCGAATAGGAAAGTAACATTGACAGCACAGTGGCATATTGGTTATCGCTTCTGCCTTGTAGCACTGGGGGTCCAACGGTTTGAATCCCGGCCTGGTCACTATCTGCAAGGAGTTTGCATGTTCTCCCCATGCTTGCGTGGGTTTCCTCCCACACTCCAAAGACATGCTTGTAGGTTAATTTTCTCATGTCTAAAATTGGCCCTCGTATATAAGCATGTGAGATAGGGACCCTAGATTGTAAGCTCCTTGAGGGCAGAGACTGATCTGAATGTGCAACTATGTAAAGCGCTGCGTATATTGTCGGTGCTATATAAATACCAATAGTAATAATTCAGTTTTCCCTTTTGAATACTTGCCAGGCAAACATGGCATTTAGTTAGAAGTCTTAATTTGCTACCTGAGAGGGTTTATTTGGATTGTTTTCCTTACTGAGCTTTACTGAATAGATCAATTAGGTCAGCCTTGTTTGGAATAAACTTTCTACAGTGTGGTTAATACTGCTAGCGACTGCTTCTGTTATTACCTTTCATTAATAAAAATAGGGCATTTGAGCATAGATAGGTGATTATTGTTTTTGAAATAATCTGTAATAGAGCTTGTTACCGTCATTTCTATATACATAGTTTGTTGGGGAAGAGGTATATTAACAAAGAGAATCCACTTCAACAGCAAATATGCAGTCTAAGCGAATTTTTTTTTTTTTTGCCTCTTGTTTTTCTAAAGGTATCCTAATGATCCACAAATCCTTGGCCTCAGGGATATACAGTATGTCTCTTAAAAGGCAAACTAGCCATTACCCACAATTTAAGCCCATGCAAAGGTAGTTCCTCCTTTTCATCCATATACTGCTGTTTTGTGAACCTACTCAAAAACCTTAAATTTGGATAATTCTGTAGTTTATAGGTTTAGGGCAAAATTCCAATAGCATGTAACCTGCAGCAAGTAAATTTACTTTAAGGGTTTATAATAGATAAACAGGATGGAAAAACTTTCTGCTTCAAACTGCCCTATAAAAGTTTGTCTATATAAAAGAATTATACTTTTTATTATTTATGTATAAATACCGTAATTTCAACTAAATTACTACTGTGAGACCCAGGAAAAAAAAGCTTCAGGTATAAATGAAAACCAATTGTACAAAAATACAAAATTCTTTATTCAACAACATATATATATTTTTTTTTTTTTTGTTGCCCTGGGAAAAGATCAACTTCTTAAAACCATTCAAATGCATCCCTGGCCCACTCTTATGGGGAAAAAAAACATTTCACTTCATCACTCAAGCTGATTTTTCACTAAAGAACACAGTCTATATGTAAATGATCAGAGAAAGGGTATGGATAATATTTAGAGAGGTGGCTTTCAATGGCTCTATAGATTAAAGTGGACCTTTACCCCCTTTCACAAAAAAATGACATCAGCCTGCAGCTCTGCATGCAGATATGAAACCATCTTACATTCATTAGTTAATCATTTTTTGCTTACAATTACTGTTTTCCACTTCCTGGTCCTCTTAGTCATAGTGATGAAAAGGTGGCCTAACAGATGCATCCTGGGAAAGTTACTCCAGCAGTGCATTGCTGGGAAATCTCATCTGTAAACTGCAAAATATTGAGAGATCTCAGGGAAAGGCGTTTTCCCCCCTGAGATGATGTGCAATGTCACATGTTCCAGTCACTTGTGCCAGAGTTCCAGGAAATGAAGGGAGGTGGAGTAATCTGCTCTTAGTAAAAATGGCCAGTGTGAGAAGAATGAGGAGGAAAATAAAAATAAGGTATGTACAGAATACAAAGCCAGCAATTATCTAGAAGTATGTGTTTGTAGATTGCCATTACAAAGAATTTCTAAAGGTGTATTTGTTGTCATTTTAAAGATGAGGGTGAAGTCCCATAAATGTAGCTGCCCAAATGTTATGGGTAAACGAGGCTACTAATGGTGCCCCAATGTAATAGTCAAATATGTCTCTTAAATTCCAGAGATTGACACTCTCATAATATTACACAGATTCCCAGTTAGTTCAGTAGAGTATTGTTGTGGACATTTTATTAAGATGTGTTTTTAGTATATTGTAATATTGTCATCATGTCTCTCAGTGTCCGGATTTCTGTGTCACGCTCGATTGGCATGTGACCCGGATTAAATCAGCACTGAGGGTAAACCATTGGAGTGAGAACAGCCCAAGATGGATTAGAATCCTCATCACGGGCACTAATATGGTGGATCAATATGGTGCTCATCAGATCATGTATCTTGTGGGGCAAATGCTTTATCTTGTAAAGCACAACCTTGATGTCAATTTATTATTTAACTTTTTTTTCTACTTTTTTATGTTCTGTCTACTCCCAATCCACAAAGCATTTTTGTCCCTTTTAGCCATCTCTGCATCTGGAACTGCTGGTGTGTAGCACAGATATAGCCATAATTTCTACAGAGCCAGTTTTACTAACTTGCATGCAGCTATTATCTTGCTCTGAATAGGGATACGAATCCTGAATTAAGGATGTGTAAATACCTATATACCTTTTGTAAGAAGACAATGCTGTACCTCACAGTTCTAGAGGTTGGCTTTTTGGTTCTTTTTGTTTTGTCTCACTGCAACTTTAATGGTTGTACTCTTCCCCTGGACTACCTAAGCCCTACACCATAAAACCAGTAAAGCCATATCTTGCACTGATGAGGGCTAACAAGCCTGAAACAGCCTTATGTCAGTTGGTAATGCTGGCTCATTAAAATAATTGCTATATTTGTTCTATAGGTGCACAGATAGGTAAAATGACCAATGAATCTGCCCACTTCCCCATAAGCAGAGACTGCGCTCCTTGTTTTGGGGGTTTTGCTATGGCAGTGAGGACATGCAAGTACCTTCTATTATAAGAAGTCAATGCTGTATCTGGAGACTGAGATACTGCATAGAATGATAACATCGTACTAAACCACATACTATTGGCAGACTAGGTTTTTCTTTATTTTTTATATTGGGGGAACTCCTGTA